GTATCATTATTTATAAGAATGTCCAGTTACATGTCCATTATCTGACTTAAAATACAGCATCAAGGTAACAAAATACTGCGTAATCACATTAAAAATACTGCCTGAAAGTTTAAAAAAATAAATATAAATGCATCAGAAATATGCTGTGTGGAAATTTCATGCAGCACATTCGTAATACTTGAGAATTTTTAACTTGTGCTTTGATATCTGTGCTGCATTTGAATTAGCCTGTATATTTGTACTGTATGTTCTTGTTGTAGCCAGTTTGTAATGCACTTGGAATTATGCTTGAGCTTATAATAAGCATTGCCAAAAAAGTAAATCGCAATTTGTAACAGATAATCAACAGTTGAAAAAATATAGTGATATCATAGCTGTATATTAAGACATGATAGACTTGACATCACAGTACATGATAGAATAACACCATTTAACTCACCTTACATTAAAATACTAGCTTCTGATAGGTTAAGTGGCCGGCAATTATTTTCCATATAGCCCACTGAGAAATCATTCGGAACACATCCTCGGTAACATGCATATCTCGAATAAGTGTTATTGAGTTGCAATGAACCATTGTTTATCCGATTGCACTGGATAAAGGGATGTAACTTGGTTCATTTGGGTCGTCTGCTACAAGTTTTGCTAACTCGGTGAAACTGCGGACACAATTATATTCCGGACCTGCATGAATGTTGGTGAGATAAATTAATTGTCATCCTGGCTCGGGGCATATAGGCTCACACACAGGGTGCATCACTCCATATAGCCCTCGAGATCTGTTGACAACTTACAATGTAGAGCTGTGTTAATGTTACTGAATTTGGCATATACATAATCAGCTCATGTATCCCACTGAGAAATCAATCGGAACATCTGAGGAAACTAGCACATCTCGAATAAGTATTGTTCAGCTGCAATGAACTGTTGTTTATCCGAATGCATTGGGCACACACACACTTACTGCATATTTAGACTTAAGCCTTACTTTACATGGCCTGCTAGTTTGTCATACAGACCCTGAAACAAATATATCGAATACAGCCCATACAAGTCTATAAGTTGGGCAAGTCTAGATTGCTGCAGTATCTGAAAATGAAGAAAGTTTCTGGGCTCCTTTTTATTATATTTTATAACTATAATTTAACAACTGTTTTTGCTGTAAAATATGTTCATTTCAGAGGTTAGATATTAGTCTAATGGCCTGCACTGACTTAAATTCTGTGTACGTGAACCTAGCCATGCTGGAGGTAAACATGCTTACCTAATATTCGATGCTAAACATGGCCATGGACTACATCAATTTGGTCCCATGTTCAGCCATTATTCCTATGTGTATAGCAGACTGTCGGTTTCTTGGCTTTCTCTGCAGGTATCAAAGCGTAATTTGATGCAGATTAAAGATGAGATGCAAGGATCACAGACTGTATGTTGTCTCTTTGTAATAGTTTTTGACACATGATACATCTCTTGTGAGACTATGGGATTAGGGAACACTACCTCTTCAATGATGACACACCTGTGTTTCTGTACACAGTGGATGTGTGTAAATGCCATATATACTAATAGTTCGTTATAACCGTTATCACACAACCTAGTCCTTCACTGTGGAATATCATTTTACATTCTGGTGTAACTAGCATGGACAGAGGATGAAAAAGGCAAATGTGGAAGTAGGATAAAGCATTGGGATGAAACTGACAAAACCATTTCCATATCATAAGAAATAAAAGACCAAACCCTGCTTAAAAGGCTGTTACATGATCATTTTTAGAGATATTTTTTATTTTGTAGTAAAGAGAGCAAAAAGAATATGAACTCAATGTTAACCTACACTCAACCATTCTGTTAGTCTGTCATACAGACCCTGAAACAAATATATCCAATACAGCCCATGCAAGTCTCTAATGTTTAGCAAGTCTAGATTACTGCAGTATCAAGAAAGTCTCAGGGCTCCTTTTTATTATATTTCATAACTATAATTTAACAACTGTTTTTTTCTGTAAAATATGTTCATTTCAGAGACGAGATGTCAATCTACCATTCTATCTAATGTGTGAGATGCATTTTACTCCAGAGGTAGGTGTATGACTACTGTTTCATAGTCAACCTACGAGGGAACACCTGGTGTCATTGGAACCTGTCAGTGAGTGTAGGTCTTAAATACTCTATTTTGCATGTAGTTTCTTCATTTGACATCTTTCAGATGATTCGCTACAATTCAGGTGAGCCACATAGCCTTTAAACAGGACAGGCTCCCATTTCAATTTCACAAACACCTAGTGTCAATATTGTGCAGTGGTTTGTGGGTGTAGGTTCTTCAGCGTATTACTTGCATTTTGTTGTAGTATTTAAAAATGATACCTAAGATTCAATGGTCAAGTGCATGATGTATCTATTCTATTTCAACATGTACACTAGACCCATTTGACCCATGAAGATCTGGGGTAGAATAGGTCTTCAGCAACCCATGCTTGTCTCCCCGTGAAGATCCGGGGTAGAATAGGTCTTCAGCAACCCATGCTTGTCTCCCCGTGAAGATCTGGGGTAGAATAGGTCTTCAGCAACCCATGCTTGTCGTAAGAGGCGAGTAAAGATCGTTTGGTCAGGCTCGCTGACTTGGTTGATGCATGCCGTTGATCCCAATTGCGTGGATTGATGCTCATGATGTTAATCACTGGATTGTCTGGCCCAGGCTCGATTATTTACAGACCGCTGTCATATAGCTGGAATATTGCTGAATGTGGCGTAAAAACACACACACACACACACACACACACACACACACACCATGACCAATTCACCACCATAGCTTTAGAATCTTTCTTTCACTAATTTATCACAGAATTTGCTTACTTATGAGCGTCCGAGTTTGGCATAAATATACGTTTAAAATGACAGACTCACACGAGTGAACCCTTGATACAGTCGTGCCTCGTTTATACGGACACTTGCGTCATTTCACAATTCGTCCGTATAAACGATTTCCGTATATCTGAAACCAGCTTCTTACTGGAAGAGTTACTTCCCTTCAATTATGCAACTCATGACAGATGATACGTGATACACTATGTCTGGATTTGAATCCTGTGAGCCACCCACGAGAATATGCAAAGTCAGAAATGTCCATTTTGCCACCAAAATCGCGAGCTTTCTCTATCAGCATTTCATCATTAACGGGCACATTACAACTTGTCATGTCACACAACCAAAGATATAATGCATCTTCCATCTTCTGGTGTTTTGCTAAACGGGATCGTGATAAGTCATTTGAATTTTCCGGGAGATTAAGCCACTTCTGTTTGTCTTTTAAAATGTCACCAATTGTCGATTTTCCTATGGTATGTCCAAATTCAGTGCCATAATGCTTACTGATGGTTTCCAAACTTGCTGACGGGTGTTTTTCCTTAAACAGACAAATTTCCCTTTTTTCGAGTGCTGTAACTGCATGTCGCTTACGTTTCGCTGGTTGACAGGCCATACTCACAGTTTGAAGTCACAAACTTGACCCCTGACCTCCACAGACGCCATATTTATCGAATGGGATTACATGTACAATAAACAAGCTCATCTCAAACGTAACTCAGTGTCACTTGGTTAATTGACTTCTCACGAATCAAAGGATTACCACCAGCGGAAGTGTATTGTCCAGGTAAGTGAGACAATTTTGTGTGCATTTCAGTGTTTTGTGTATGAAAATGACCATCCGGTTCCGGAAACTGAATTTCCGTATATACGGGTAAATTTATATAGTAATTATTTCGTTTTGAATGAAAATCGTCCGGGAACCGGATATCTGAAGTCCGTATAAGTGGGGCATGACTGTATAAGTAATCAATTTCAGGAGACAGATATATATGAACTTTAGCTGGAAAAGACGGGGAAACGAAGTCCTGATGCTACAAGAAGATTGTAGTCATATTTGAGCCAGCACGCAACAATGTGAGTTGAGAACTGGTGATATAGCTACATGCTGCAATCATGGACGAACAGTGCAATTTCATTGGCTGGCTATAATTAGCAGTGTGTCATTTAAATTGGGACCTGTGAAGATCCGGGGTAGAATAGGTCTTCAGCAACCCATTCTTGCTGTAAAAGGCGACTATGCTTGTCATAAAAGGCAATGGGATCAGGTGATCAGGCTCGCTGATTTGGTTGATGCATGTCATTGATCCCAACTGTGTGAATCGATGCTCATGACGTCAATCACTGGATTGTCTGGTCCATGCTTTATTATTTACAGACTGCCATCATATAGCTGGAATATTGCTGAGTGCGTTAAACAACAAACAAACATTTAAATTGGACTCCAAATAGAGCTATGGCAGTGCATGTGTCCATAGAATGTTTAGCTAATACTCTGGATAATCAAGGACACCTGGTGTCATCATTGGAAACTGACAGTAAGTGAGGGTTCTTAAATTTGTCACCACAGTTTTGTTTGTAGTTCCTACATTTTAACCATTTAGATGATTCCTTAAAATTCAGGTGGGCTACGTACCAGAAACCTTTTGGCAGGACAGGCTGCCATGTCAAAAACACCCAGTATCATCAATCAACAATTAATTCTGAGCACTTGTTACATCCATTTTGTTTGGAAGTTCTAAATGTTATATGATGACCGAGAATTCCTGTAGGCTCCATGGTCTTTTTTTCTTATGACAGAGTGAGTGAGTGAGTATGGTTTTACGCCGTTTTTAGCAATATTCCAGCAATATCACGGCGGGGGTCACCAGAAATGGGCTTCACACATTGTACCCATGTCGGAAATTGAACTCGGGTCTTCGGCGTGACGAGCAAACGCTTTAACCACAAGGCTACCCGACCGCCCCTCTTATGACAGAATACCTCTGAGCAGTGGCATGTTTGCAACAATATATTTCAATTACATCTGTCATAAGGTTTGATTGGTTTCAAACAAATATTACTTCTTCATTATGGCAAGATGATTATAACAAATGAGATGATAACACATCTGAATACAAGAAAAAACACATAAAAAGTTCAAAAAATTTATTTTCACATTTGTACAAATTGTTTTCATCAATGAACTATCAACAGAAATTTGTACAAATTGTTTTCATCAATGAACTATCAACAAAAATAATAACATAGCCATAAGAAACCTAATACATGTATTCTTAAAGAAACAATAATCGTTACTAAAATGCTAGAAAAATGTACAAAAACATAACAATTCATCTTATCTACATACCTTATATATCATAAGCTTATATACCTTATATGTTTAAATACTGAGACATATCACTAAAGTAAATGCTAGAAATCTTGCATTGGATGTATTCTGCTAAGTAACTGCTAAACAATACTTACTCATACAGTTGATTAGCATTAAATAAGTCTTTAACTAAAATACTGGTGTTTTGTCCAATGACTGGACTTTGTTGTGTGTCCAAAAGCAATGACGTGGGTGGACCCATCCCATCCTAATGTTGATTGGACTCATGAGAAACATTGGTGAACATATGGTTCCATGCAAGAGCGGACCGCCTCCGTGGTCTTGTGGTAGAGCGTCCGCCCGGAGAGCGGAAGGTCCAGGGTTCGATCCCGGGCCGCGTCATACAAAAAGACGTTAAAAGATTGTACTTGTTGTTACCCTGTCTGGCGCTCGGCATTAAGGGGCTAAAACAAGGACTGGTCGGCTCGGAGTCAGTATACTGTGTCTGAGTGGGGTATTCATGTTAAACTGCGGCATGGTATCTCAGTGAGCTAGCACTATAAATCGGCATCAGTCCGGACTAGTACAAGCAGCCACACACACACATACACGTGCATGCACGTCGCTATATAAGTGCAATAATCTTGGACGCGACGTTAAACCCAATTTCACCTCACCTCACCTCACCTCACCATGCAAGAGCGGATCTTTGAAATGGGTAAAAAAAGCATGTACTTTATATGAATATACTATTTAAATGTTCTGGACATCCAATTACCAGATAAAGTATCATACTTATATCAGAGTCACAAAGCCATTGGCATGAATAAGGCTTAATATCGCATCATCCTACACTCAAAGGATGAGCCCACTCATTTAAGTGATCTTAGCGCTAAGTCTATGTAACCAACAATTCGCAACATTAACTTCGCAACACTCCAATCACTTACGTGCAAGTGACATTGGAAAGTCAGTAGATTATATTTTTCATGACAACAGTACAGCGACCTAGCTTGACCTCCGTGCAATGGCAAGTGCTACAGTAAGTGAATGTATCATGAGCCTAGGCGTTGTTGCTTTGATCTTGTCTGTTTTTCACAGAGATACGATTATGAATATCTCTTCGGCCCTGACACTTTCTTTAATCAGATGATCTGAGTCCACTCAGCACTCTTACCACATGACGATGTTTATCGACTTAATGTAAGGATGCAGTTATGTGATAGAAAAACAAAGAACAATAAACATCAACCAGCGAATGATATCAAATACTTAATCTAAATTGAGCATGATGAAACTTTGTTTTCATGTCATAAATATAGCACTCCATATACAGCATATTATTAACTGAGCGAAGATCTACCCAACTGAGTACATATTAAGTATCACTAAAACTGTGACACCTTGCTTTCCCCTACTGCTGCTGAAATAACAGTTATGAGAAGATGCTTTGCTATTTCAGTTTTTACGGACTCTTTCACATTGGATATAAAAATAATTTGAATCCATCTTAGCACTAAACTTTTATTATTCAAGTCATTGTACACCTGGTGTCTTGTGACTGCAGTGTGTCGGAGAATATCCTTCTCACATGACACATGAAATGAAACTGCATGGCATGACGACAAGTAAAATAATCCGAGAAAACCAAACCAAATTAAAGTTCATGTGATAAATGTCTCACAAAATTTATAAGAAATCACAGACTTCTCTGGAATGGAAGCATTTTGACATTACTACATCCGTATTTCACATGTTGTCTTATGTCACAGTAGCAGATTTTCAACAAAACAGCAGAAAACATATGAGACTTGTCCATCATTCTAGATTGTTAAATTACAAATCCAAATTAAGTTCAAAGAAATAACAAAAACCTGCTACTTGGACCTGGAAAAATAATACAAAGCTTGACTCATAACATACACGTACATGTATTCGTTTTTGTACACTAGAAATGTTGTATCTCACATCCTTATGCGCAATTATATACATATGAACAGCATTATGACATCAGCAACAGCTGCATTGTGACATCAGCAACAGCATTATGAAATCAGCAACAGCTGCATTGTGACATCAGAAACAGCATTGTGACTTCAGCAACAGCTGCATTGTGACATCAGAAACAGCATTATGACATCAGCAACAGCTGCATTGTGACATCAGAAACAGCATTGTGACATCAGCAACAGCATTGTGACATCAGCAACAGCTGCATTGTGACATCAGAAACAGCATTGTGACATCAGCAACAGCTGCATTATGGCAACAGCATTATGACATCAGCAACAGCATTGTGACATCAGAAACAGCATTGTGACATCAGCAACAGCTGCATTGTGACATCAGCAACAGCTGCATTGTGACATTAGCAACAGTTGCATTGTGACATCAGCAACAGCATTGTGACATCAGAAACAGCATTGTGACATCAGAAACAGCATTGTGACATCAGCAACAGCTGCATTGTGACATCAGCAACAGCAGCATTATGAAATCAGCAACAGCATTGTGACATCAGCAACAGCTGCATTATGACATCAGCAACAGCATTATGACATCAGAAACAGCATTGTGACATCAGCAACAGCTGCATTGTGACATCAGCAACAGCTGCATTGTGACATTAGCAACAGCTGCATTGTGACATCAGCAACAGCATTGTGACATCAGAAACAGCATTGTGACATCAGCAAATGAAAGACACTGGATGTTGAGCAAGTCTGCCGTAAGTGTAACACATTTATAGCTCAATCTTTCTCACGCTCATAGCACTATATAAAACCCCTGCACTCAGGAGGATGGACAGCAAGATTCATTTAACTGTTATAGCAGCATCATGAAATAAAATCATTCAATGCAAATCTGCAAAAATGAATTTGATTTATTAGCAGTTCATATTTCCAAACCTTTTGAGCCCTTTTAATTATAAAGATGATGTATTTCATCTTCAACCATTGCAGTATGAATTTAAAGTGTTGTTAACAAATTATTAGATTTCATTTTGATCTTACTATGAATTTGTTATCTGTATTGAAACAGGGATTGTATTTTGTTATCGTGTTTGCCGAATGATAACAGTAAGACTTCATTATTATCTCCCCTTAATGTCACCTGATACACCTTAATCCCCCGATCTGTGAATTTCTTGCTGTGAAACTAATACACCACAGAATCTAATAACATATATTTTCCCACCCTTCATTGAAAAGTTTTCCAAGAGACCCTTAACCCATATAAAAAATCACTGTTTACGTTCAAAGTTAAACCAGGCTTAAGATCCGAAATCCATTTAAAGCTAGGAACCATTCAATGATACTGAACCTTTATCTATAGACAGAACCTAGTCCCCACATTAGACTGGTGCTACCAAGTATTGATTTACTAATGGCTGAATCTTCAGTAATTGCAAAACATCTTGAGAAGTGCAGAGGCAATTTAACCAAAAAATAGATTGTAAAATGTAGTAGATATACCTCCAGTGCGACCAGGTCATTAATTAGAGGCATATGGCCTAACCTTTAGAATGAAAGGCTTTTGTGGTGAAAAATCTCCATCTCGAGAAGCAGCCATTGCCATAGCTTCCGCATGTCGGAGATAAGGGTTAAAGAAGGAGGCGGGGATTGACTTTCCTTAAAGATTTAGCATTTTGATGATGGTGTCAATTTCATCACACTATGTTTGAGTTCAATATATGGATTGTAAACCAAAGCATAAGCCCCTGGAGCAAGTATCTGATTAATATTCAAATTGGTCAGCACCCTGAGGATATTTACTTCTACTCCCAGAATGGATCCTACAGCCTTTGTAACTGGAGAAGCAATTGAAAACTAACAGTCAGAAGCTTCCATAAGAATGTACGTCAATCTAAGACTTGAATTTTTCAGTTTTCATGTTTCAATGAAATGCTCATTAATCTGCAAAAAGTCTATGCATGCATCATCAAAACGACTCTCACAATAAATGATTTTGACTATCAGTATGTGTATTTCTTTTGTTTCAGTCGAAAAATTAACGTCCTGTGTGGCAAAATATTTGAGTTCATGTTCGCAGGTCAGCTTGAGTTTGGTCCATAGCACTCTTTAAATTAATCTGAAATAGAAAATTTACAAATAATAATTGCACTTCAAATCAATATTGTACAAATAAAATGATGCCTTTTATTCTACAATAAATCTTATAAAAAAAGTCAAATGCTGACCAAAACATTTGGGAAAATGGAGGAAATATAAAATCAACAACATCCAATATTTCTATATTTAAAAGAGTTTTATGAGGAAAGATTCTCATTTTCTAACATTCATTTCATGCTGACTGAGACAATTAATGTGGGTCGAGCGGGACAAGCAGGCCTTGAATAACTGAGTGAGTTCGGTTTAATGCTGCTTTGAACAGTATTCCAGTTATACAGCTTATTGTGGAGGAACGCCGGAAATGATGCAGGTCTCAGACGTTTACCACTTGAGTGAAACCCAAGAGCATGTGTAAGGTGCTGACAAACCTAGAAACATAATTGGGTCGAATTGGGATTCGAACAAATGATCATAGGATCTGCATGCCCAAGAGATGCAACTTTGCACAGCAAATTGTGACTACTGGGCCACCACACCCAGAAGGCTTGACAAACTCACTTGACTCGGTCAGATGATCAGAAAATGCCTATCTACACATTCTTTGACGCTTGAATATGAAATCTATTTCATGAATTACAAATGATAGGGGGACGAGTCTTCTTGCAGTTTACGGAAAGAGGCGAGTGGTGACGAATGAGACCCACCCTGTAATAAATGACTGTTCCCAAAGTCTATGTAAATTATGTTTGCCATTTGTACATCAGAATAAGTGAGTGAGTATAGTTTTACACCGCTTTTAAGTATAATAGCAATATCATGGAAGGGGACACCAGAAATAGCCAGGTCTTTGGTGTGACAACATCAGAATAAAGGACAACATGAGATGAAACAGCATGATATTCAATGGTATGATACATGACATAACCAGACTGATATTATAACCCAGAGACCATATCGGTATATGGTCTCTGTATAACTTCAGGAAAAACCACATAGAAAGTTTAACAGCATATTAATTATGGTAATTCCTTCCTAAGTTATCTCCCTTTCGATGACAGCCATTTGTGAAATTTAAACAATCTTATTAGCAAACTCTCTTTTTAGCAAACTCTATCTCTACCATAATATTTAACTTCAACAACCACTTAAAAGACACAAAATAAAAAGATCATGGCACAAATGAATTTTCTTTGAAATTGTAAGAAACAATATGCATATTTGAATAGCCCATAAGAAAAGCTATTTGTGCTCCTCATTTCTTTATGAAAAGCTATACAAACTAATCTATTTTTTGTAAGCTCTCCCAACTTAACCATCAATTCCAAACAATTTAATGACATTTGAGAAGATCAAAGACCCAGTATCAAATTCAAATTTAAAAAAAATTAGTTCAGGTCTTTACAAGAAAGCATCAGAATATCTGGAAGTGCTAATTTAATACTTCAGAACAGACCTTTAAAGGTACAATTAATGCCTGTAACTGTTAAATATTTTTCGAAAATTTATTGGAATGAAACAGTACAATTATCACCATTCCTGGACAAAATACCAGTCTTTCGACTCCAAAACTATCCCTGTGATCATGTCAGTACATTATCTTGTTTCTTTCCAACCCTGTATTTAAATATTTAAGTTTTCAAGTTGAAGTAAATGCAATCTCATCAAATGAATAATACATCAAATAGAGATTAAATGAGTTGGTTTCCTAAAATCAATGAGAATTGTGAGCTCCTGCAGAATCCGCCCTGTCAGGCTATGGGGCCTACTTTTCAATCAAACTCAGACAATTTCAGGTTTATTCTTCACTACTGCCTTTATAAGCATTTTATTTCCCACCCTGCTTTCGGAAAGCAGCTGTCTATATAATTACTTCCAGTACCTTCAAAAGGTCAATTCTAATGGAATTTACATTGCACATGACTTTTGTCCTTTTCGTCTTTTTGCAATGAAATTAAGACCATTCTTGTCATAAAACACCAAACTTCAAGATATTATTGTTGAAGTCTTTATGCTGTGATAGATGATAATATGAAATCTTCACTTTGGATTACGTTGTCTTACACAAACTGTCTGGAAAGTTTTCAGATTCAGTGTCTCAACGAACAGTTTTTCATTGTTTTTTCCTCTGACAAAATTGTCTGTTTTCTTGTTGGTAGCCATCAAGTCATTGTTTAAGTCTGAGCAATATGATAAGTGTTTAACATACTTACAATGTGGAAAATCATTTGTCCATACAACTCATAAATTATATAAACTTTGCTATTGGTCATTAAGGTCACTCCATGGTCAAATGGTCATAAGGTGTCTGCCCAGAGAGCGTAAGGTCTGTGGTTCGATCCCAGGTCTCGTCATACCAAGAAATGTCAAAAGGTGGTAACTGTTGTTACCCTGCCTGGCGATTGGCATTGAGGGTGATATAATAGGACACGTGACCAATACCAATCATATCCTCTGTATATTTGTTGTTTTGTGGAGAGGGTTCACATGTGATATCATTTAGATGAACACTTAGCCCCAGAAATATAGTAATAATTTGAGGCTTCAGTTGGATTCCATTTTTAATTTATTCTCTAGGGTCTGGGAGACAATTAGAAAATCATAGAAGAAAAAAATCCTGGTTATTACTGTGAATACTTTGAAATTGGCATTGCATATCCATATAGGTTTCAGGGAGGTTCAAAAGTAGAGTAGGAAGAATCGGGAAAAATTGGTTTTCAAATAATTATTTCAAATTTAAGTAATAAAGCAAACATAATTAGACACAGATTGTCTGAAACTCGACATTTTATTGTTTTCATCTTTTACGTACTGCCATTTGTGTTCGTTTGAAATCTAGAAACCACCACCCTAATGACTTAAAAACAGCACAATGATATTTCCTCCAATGCACTTTAATAAGACTAATGTATTTTATGTCTTTTCAAGCTGAAACTAATGTCAAGCATGATCATCAATCAGATTATTTCCAGTTGTGTTACGTTTCATCCTGCAAATTATCATACAGCTGACATAGCATGACCGATGATCCATGTCAATGTTGTACTACCGATATACTGTGCATATTTTTAATGCGCTGTTCGTTAAAAGTATCCCTAAAGTATGCTCAAAGTGCTACATTAATACCCCGGTCAATGGATAAGTGTATGCTCGATTTTCATTCTCAGCTCCCTGGGGAGTATACAACCCAAGTCTACCTGATTTGTGATCTGTGTGCTGTGTGCAGGACCACATGTTACAGCATGTCAGACAACTAGCCAGTTCACACATGACGACTTATGTAAATTTTCATGAATTTTCACAAGACATTTTCTTGATTGCTTAAGGAACAAACAGATCTGTTTTTGAAGGTAGATAAAAATATATATCTTCCTATCATAATTGAAAATTTGTATTTCAAAGTAGATTTGACAATTGATGTTTTTAAAATGTCACTTATGCAAAATGCTGTCTTTGATGAAGTATTCTTCTTTCAATCCCTACTCGATTCAACCTTTCCTAATCACATTCCAAGGCATTTTCAAAGGAAAATTTTGTAAAATAGCTTTATAATCAAAATCATTTTAGGTTATCAATTTTGCTTCGACTAATTTTTGTAGCCTCTTGACATATTGATCGAGAATGTCTGAAAAACAACAAATAAAATTGGTCTAGCCGAAACAAGATTTTCCAATGATTTGCCTTAAATCAGTAAAGCGAAGATTCCTGATATTCTGTGGGCTAATGTCAGCCATCAGCATGTGCACAATTTAGTCAGGGACAGGTTGTCAATACGCTTGACACAAATCAGTTTCCACATGGAGGCCCATTTGCCAAAGACTAGCGCCAGTGCTATGAAGGAGAAAAGGTATATTAATCTGCCAGACTGTGATCCTATAGTATCAATCGAGACAGAAACATTTCCTTTCATTTGAATACAAACACCTATAAGCATCACAGTCAGAGAAGCCGTTATTGTAGCACGCAGACAAGGGAATGTGGTATTGGTCAAGCATGTCCAGTTATCGACAGAATCAACAGTCTGTGTCCATTGGTCAGTATATCGTTAATGGCAATATTACAAGAATCAGCCATGTGTAACCACAATATTACCGGAGCTAAAATGATGATCGGTGGTGTGTAACTTCTATTCCATTACAGGTCTACTTAGCCCTGTTTATGTCCCCTTTCACCGTTCTCTGAACCCAGAATTAATTCCGAATGGGCTTAGTGTTATTTCATGGTGTTTTGCGGACAATTTTATGGATTTTAAGGTGATCAAAATAATGCTTAGAGCTTGAAATTATTTTTGCTTAGGCCTAGAAAGGTTTTATTCCTTTACTGGATTATCCTTGAGTGACGGCATAAACACCAATGTAACCTCCAGTCAAAAAATATATCGTAGTTCAATTGCTTTTTCATGATTGTTTACTATTTCCATTTGTTTTTTTAGTGATAGTTACATCCACTTCTAACACGATGTTCTAATCAGGTTTGATTGCATCCTTTCTATACACATGATAGTTTGTGAGTGAGTGAGTGGGTGGGTGGGTGGGTGAGTGAGTGAGTGAGTGAGTGAGTGAGTGAGTGAGTGAGTGAGCAAGCATAAGTTATATCAACTTAATCTTTCCTCCTATCAAAAAAGTCAAAAGCTTTCTCAGAAGTACATATGACTATAAAATACTAAACACCCTGCACTTTAAACTGTATTTCTTCTCTTGACTATCAGCCACAAGCATGTGGGATTCACAACGATAACCAACTGATCACTGCATGGCTAAAGGACATGCCTTAATCACTAACTAGCCAATTTTGGGAGTAGATGTCAGCTTTTACTTGCTAATTATTCTGAAATGTAAAATCTTGGTAAAGTTTCTATAATAAGAGGGTTTAAAATATTCAAGCTGGCAAAAAAGTAGGTTTAAAAATACTTAAAAATGTCATCCTTTATGTCATTCTAAATCTCCAGGAAGGGGAAACATTTTTTTACAGTGACCTCCCTTACTCATATATTTTAACAAGCTCTCCTCTCAAATATCTCAACTAGACTACAAAGAAAAAAGGTGATGACAAGCTCTTAAACACATGACAAAACATTTACTCAATGATAGCTGTAATTTTGAGATAAAAGAATTATTTTGGTCCAGAATCATGATATTTGTTTTAAAACCAAACATGTCCATCTTTATTTTTATCTGAAGTATAACTAACAACAGATTCAGAAAGACAACAAAGTACAAACCCTATGACCTCACTTGCTGGTTTAATTCCTTGCTTTGCAATGAAGGTCAGTTTTTCCCAAGCAGTATCAGCTCAACATTTTTCTAAAATGTTTTTCCTCAAAATTTCTGCGCCAAAGCTTGTTGTTTTAGAGAAAGCAACATTCCACTGCAGAGGCAGTAGATTTTTTGAGACGGTTAACTCGGGTATTCGGGTCGGGTGGGTATACTGAGTAGGACCTGTGGTTAGTCACGTGATTACATTGTTTAATGGCAAAAATTATCTAGAACTCTATGGTTACACTATAAGGGACAAACGTTCACATTTCTTTCCGACTATGCACACATTCCTTCTGACATTATATGTTTGGATAAAGATAAAACTCCAGTCAACTTCAGTGTATGCATGACCAGATCATTTTATACCTGAATCTAAATACATTTTGACAGGAGTATGGTCAAACGTTTCCCAATCGTACGTTTTGTACCTATCTCTTAAGACCCACAGCGGGTACCCGGGTAGGGTCGGGTAATATTGGGATTGGTACCCGGGTAGTAAATTTGGACTCGTCCCAGCCCTAGATAAGGGATCTTGTTCTTATGTAAAAATTCAAATAATGACATCCTCATATTGCAGCTTTCAGGAAATATATTTATCCTCATTTAGACACTTTAGGGTTGTTTAGCAAACTTATGTACATCTCTAAAACCATCTGAAGATGCTTGAAATCTAACAAGAGCAACTGTATCCCAGGGCCCCATTCCTCAAAGCGATCTTAGCACTAAGGTGATCGTAAGTCCCATACTTTACCATAGACTTACGATCATTGTAGCGCTAAGATCGCTTTGAGGAACAGGGCCCAGATCTATACTTGTGAGATATTTATATAGCCACACTCCTACTTTAAAGCCCTGAAAATAATCCACATATTGGCAATGTTCAACTGATTCATTGGATGACCTTTCTTTGAAATCAACTTGAATTTAAAGACTTTATTTCAATTAAAAATTGAATGTCACTTGTGTTTAACTGTCTTACCTGCTGTACGAAAACTAATCCATTGCTTGTAGGCACAGGAACGGTAGCGGTGTCCTGTATGGCAGAGTCAGGAGTTTGCACTTTGAGCACTGTTGGGAGTTTGTCCTGCTCCCATCATGTTTTGTAGCACCAATTTCTCACATACATGAGTCACGTCTCACTGATGAGACATATTCACTTCGGTAATGTCGTTTGCACTCCAGATCCAACAAGACGGCACATCTGTCACTGTTGGCTAATATGGACCAAATGAACTTTAGGCAGTCCCATTTTAATCAGACTGAATCCCCTTATGTCTGAAAACATGTGTCACAACTTGCTTTCCATGATCTTGGCCCATTGGAGACAATGTAACAGGATCTCCTATGAGATGTCTTATCGCTCTCTTAAACACAAATTTCTCATGTCAATTGCTTAGATACATTGTGTTATTAAGTCTCTATCTTATAACAATGTGTTCTCATTCTGACGCATGTTTTCTTTCAATATTCACTATCATTCAAAATGGAACAAAACAATTCACATAAGTGATCACATTTTCTCCTTGGACATGGATCACAGTTTTCTTCATGGGTATAAATCCTGCAATAGGTGATCACATTTTCTCATTTGGGCACAGATGACACATACTCCCGTACTGTTATTCACATTATTTGCTCCTTTGGGCACATATGTCACATCTTCCCATACCATACATGTTCACATTATTTTCTCCTTTGGGCACATATGTCACATCTTCCCATACCATACATGTTGCCATTATTTTCTCCTTTGGGCATATATGTCACATCTTCCCATACCATACATGTTCACATTATTTTCTCCTTTAGGCACATATGTCACATCTTCCCATACTATACATGTTGCCATTATTTTCTCCTTTAGGCACATATGTCACATCTTCCCATACTATACATGTTGCCATTATTTTCTCCTTTGGGCACATATGTCACATCTTCCCATACCATACATGTTCACATTATATTTTCATTTGGTCACATTTTCCCATTTCAATTGCTGCTCAGATTATTTTCTCCTTTGGCCACTGTAGATGTCACATTTTCTTATACCGTTGTTCACATTATTTTCTCATTTGAACACAAGTGTCACGACTTCCGATACCACTCCATTTGTCAGTGTGACTCATGATCACAGACGTGGTCACATATTTCTCCACTGGACACATGTATGCAAACAGTCCTCATTTATTCACACAGATACACAAGGCATAGACTGTAACACTGGAGTAGATTGAGAAACAAATTTCTCCCATATAATCGGATGTCCTGAGATGAGAGAAATAACTTCAAACAGATCTAGTCCTGAGATACCTAGCTCTGACACTGGAAGAAGTCAGGTTCCCCTGACACTCATACACCTCATCAACATGCTATCACAGAACGCTTAAGGGCAGATCTCTCAACACTAGAATTTTGATCTGAAATGAATTAAAACAAACATGGATTAAAAACACAGAAATGTAAACCGGTAATTGAATTGTGGCTCAAAATTGAACACATCATGCTCATCCTTCTGGAAGTTATATCACAGCATGTCAGCTGGATGTGGTAAGGATGTTTTTGATGTTTACCACTTTGAAGAAACCCACAAGCAGGGGTATGAGTGAGTGAGTGAGTGAGTGAGTATGGTTTTACGCCGCTTTTAGCAATATTCCAGCAATATCATGGCGGGGGACACCAGAAATGGGCTTCACACATTGTACACATGTCGGGAATCGAACCCGGGTCTTCGGCATGATGAGCGAACGCTTTAACCACTAGGCTACCTGACTGCCCCCAGCAGGGGTATGATGTGGATAAACCTAGAAAACCTAATCAGGATGAACTAGGATTTGAACCCACCATCACAAGTTTCTGCATGGTGAATTGCAGCATCTTATTCAACTCTATCATCATTAGAGAGATTTCAGAAAACCTACCAGCCCCCAAACCCTATTTGTCTGGAAACCCTCAATGTTTATCTGGAAACCCTATTTGTTTGGAATCCCTGTTTATCTGAAAACCCTATTTGTCTGGAATCCCTGTTTATCTGGAAACCCTATTTGTCTGGAATCCCTATTTATCTGGAAACCCTTTTTGTCTGGAACCCTGTTTATCTGGAAAATCTCTTTGTCTGGAATCCCTGTTTATCTGGAAACCCTATTTGTCTGGAATCCCTGTTTATCTGGAAACCCTTTTTGTCTGGAATCCCTGTTTATCTGGAAAATCTCTTTGTCTGGAATCCCTGTTTATCTGGAAACCCTATTTGTCTGGAATTCCTGTTTATCTGGAAAATCTCTTTGCTTGGAATCCCTGTTTATCTCGCAACTATTTATCTGGAATCCCTTTTATCTGGAAAACTCTCCTGGGTTACTTTTGGAGACATCTGAACAGTGTTATATACATTTCCCTTTCGGTAAAGGAAATTAGAACTGAAAATGTAACCATGCTTCTCCGTTTTGGGATCACATGGTATCATCACTATCTTAGGTGATTCACAAACACATTTTTATGATATAGTCAGAATCATACAATGGACTCTGTTTAGCAGAGCTTTCTTATGATTATGGAAAGGGTTCCGTCGCTTTTATATATATAATGATTATGAGTGAGTGAGTGAGTATGGTTTTACGCCGCTTTTAGCAATATTCCAGCAATATCATGGCGAGGGACACCAGAAATGGGCTTCACACATTGTACCCATGTCGGGAATCGAACCCGGGTCTTCGGCATGACGAGCGAACGCTTTAACCACTTGGCTACCCAACCGCCCCTAATGATTATAGAAATGGTTTTGTCGCTTTTATTTATGTTCATATATCATTGTGACACATACAGCAATGTAAATATAAAACATCATTGCCAGAGAATAATCCTGATTCCATTGGGCATAAAAGGCAAAATAGCAGTGAAAAATATATGAGTGGATGACACAGGGTGTAAAATACTATGAAAACTGAAGCAATCAGAATTATTTTGGTTCCAAATACAAAGAGCTGTATTAAGATTCATGCTGCTAGGAATCTTTTTGAGTATGTATGGCTATTTGCTGAAGAGCAATTGGATGTGTATTTAGATTGTATCCATGCCAGGCTCCTTCCATAACATGCACTTTAACAGCCACAGAATCATACAATCAAAACTGTCAGATTTTTATTATCACTTTTACACTGCAAAATAATTTTGACTTGAAAACATCATACATTGACCAGGGTGCCTCCAGCGCCAACAGTTATTGGAATGTACAGTATATAAACAGACATTTATATTTTAGTTTTGATGAGATTTTCCCCAAGGTTAAAAATACCATCAAAACTTGTCGATTAGTCCTAAGTTATACCCAAGTCAAATAATAAAAACGGACCTGATGAATAATGAAAAATTGTTTTCCCCACCATATGGGTTTAGTTGGCTGATGAGTTCATATTTTTTCCCCTATGAATCAATAAAAGTGTCTGTTGTTTCTTGAACTCAGATTGCACTTGCCACATCCTAATAGTATATCTAGTGTATGTAATTCCATGAAACAGAAGACCAAGATCAATACTAATTATTGGTTATTTTGCAATTTGTCCAGATTTAGGAAGTAGAAATCTTTGTATCCTCATTGCAACATTCCCTGTAAATTAGTATCATGGGGAAATTTCTGGGAATGTTCTTGCCAAATGAGGAATTTACTTTATTCTGCACAATTAACAAAAACTGCCCTCCAAAACTTGGTGCGTGTTAGCTGCACCTGTCCCAAGCTTATTAGACTTATAACAGTGAAATAGTTGTGTGGGAAGGAGTATTGGGTGTATTGATACGCACTCAAGCATCTGGAGCACAACTAAGCAAAAGTATTAAACGATATTTATCTAACATTTTTCTTTGATCAGGAAAAGCAGGGTTTGGAGTTGAAATGAGAACATTTTCGACTTTCATCTTGCCTAGTGTTGAAAACAAAAACATTTGTTTGTCAGATTTAGATTGGAATTTCAACTCAAGGCTACCCCAAGTCTCCTGTTAAAGCGAAATTGGGCAAAATTTAGACATAAAAATGTGAGAGAAAAAAATCACATGGAGCATATATAAACTATCTTGGTAACAACTAATCTTAATGCCTTTTTTGTACAAGCATGCAAATTGGGAACAAAGTGATCATGCACCATTTCCCCTATCATTAAAGAATCATTCAATTCAGTGACATTAAAGATCAAAGTGTTTTTTTCCTAAAAAGTGTTTCTAAAAGAACATCACAAGAAGGAATTGGGTCAGTGGCATGTAACACTTTAGAGATCCGTGCTCGAGTGAGAGGGTTATTGATATCAGTGGTCCTCTCATAGTATTAATTGACAGATTGAATGTACTAATCCTGTGTTTAACAGTCTGAGAGAACCAGCTGCCTTACGCAGAAAGCTTCCCATAGAAATGTCTTCATCAATGACCACCTCCGAGACATCTTCATTTATATAACGTTTTCGAACCTCGAAATGTAACAGATTCAGGTCAAATCTTTGACAGTTTAAAAGATTTTTCATACCACATTTCTATCCCAGAAAAAGTCTGAAGAAGGTTTGTGCAGTTCACTTACAGAATCTTCGAAAAGATTAGATTTTGGTAAAATGCCTGAATTAAAGATTCTGTTATCAAGAATTTCCCTGTCAGCAGTGTGACCTGCAATGCTAATACCATCTTTGAAGAGTGCCCTGCATAATTATCATTATATTCCTATGAAATATCATCCCACTATCAACTGTGACACTGCTTTGAACAGTATTCCAGTTATATCACAGTGTGTCAGCTTAATGTGGAACGAAAACCCAAAGTGATGCAGGTCTCACGTATACCACTTTGGTGAAACCCACAAGCACGGGTATGGTGCTGACAAACTTAGAAACAATCGGGCAAACCGTCTATCAACTGTGAAAGGACTATGTAAAAATTATGATTAAAAGATCTTGACATCTAAAGGACTGAAATTACGTTTTAATCAATTTAACATCATGATATTAGAGAGCGCATAAATTAAATATAGGTTATTTCACAGTAACAAGAGAGATATTGGTTAGCCTTCCTCCGAACACAAACCTAAGTTTATGGAATAAAGAGAGTGATTAAGACATCACTCACAAAGTGCTGAAGTAATATTTAGATACTCTTCTTAAAGAAACACAGGCCTTCTTTACAATGGGTTGTCAGCAAGTTAGGACCAAACCTATAGTTTGTAGACATCTTGATTGACATCCGAGACAGTGACTCAGAAGATCTTCACGAATATCACCATACAGGATCAAATTTGCATTCATTTTCTATGCTTATGAATTTCTTTTGCATATTCTATTGGAGAACAAATAATTATCTACACACTAAATATTCCATGTTTTTGTATTACCACAAAGTATGTAATTTAACACTGAACATCCCCACCCTCAGTCATGATCTGATCATGATATCCTGGTTTGTGTCAGATTCCCTCTGAAGCTCCTTGCAGCAGGATGGCTCCTCTTAAAAGCTTAATGAATGTGTCAGGTGCTGCATTGGAGTCCTTGCACAAGGCCTTGCAGTGTGAAAAGGGCTTTACCCTCAACAAGTAGCATCTTTCAAATTTTTTTAGGTACGGCACATCCTGGAATTGAACCACCAACATCATGCTCTCTTGGCAGATGCCATATCTTGGGATTAACAAATTGACAGTTTATGTCATGTCTCATGTTTATTAAATGAAGGAAAAGATTCTTGTTAAGATCTAGATTGATAAATCTATTTTTAGCTGTTTACTATGTTGGGACTTTACCTTTTTTTTACAAATTATACATTTACAAAATGAGGGGTATTAAATGTCATATTTATAGGTTTTTTTTCACTAATCAAGTAATGGCAGATAACATTAAAACATTGAGTAAGCTAACTATCCGTTTGATGCCCTGTAGTAGGATTAATAATTTATTAATCGTATCTCCTTTGAATATTATTGTAACAAAAGCACATGAAGTCTGTTTACTGTGGACTCTGGAGTATGTTTACCAGGATATGAATATATTCCATTTAATCAAGGGGTAACATCTCGTAGGAGTCTCCAGCTACACCTGAACTGCATGTATAGCATGATGAGTACCATAGATTCCAAAACCCATGACACACACTCCCTGACTGTACGCCAACTGTATATTCAGCTCTACTTCATGTTAATCCAAATTAGGAATTGCTGAGTATAACTGCAATGATAGCCCCTACGGTTAACATTATACTACTCAAAAAAAGTTAAGGATAACCCGATTCTTTTATATGACTATAGTTCATCTGTTATCTAGACGTGAATAGCTGCAATACTGCTGATGTGGTTTAAAGCCATGTTCACTCACTCATTCATTCATCTGTCATGACATGACAGATTAACTATAATAATATGAAAGAATCGGGTGATCCTTAACTTCTTTTGAGTAGTATATGAATGTATAGTCTGCATAACTGTATAGTGTCCTATTTTCAAATGAGTTCTTCTAAATCGAAATCAGTAATTTCTGGGATTGATATGACAAGAGTGTACTGTTGTTTTGAAGTATTTTTTTAATCATAGAAGTGTCTGTAAATTGCAGTATTCCTGTGAACATAAAAATCCCTATTTGTATTCAGTTTTTTTTCGTCTTCTGCCAGGACTTTGGTGATTTATACCCAAATGTACAGCTCTTTGATCAAGAACAAAAATAAAACAATGATCACTAATATCAAAATGGTAGAGTGAAAGAAAGTAAGGATCGCTCTGCTATTTGTAAAAGCCTGTGCTTTTCATGTCTTTGCAAACACCTGGTGTCTTCAATGATTTTCAGGGGGCACGGGTGGCCCAGTCGTCTAAGGCGCCGCGATTCGCTGTGCAGAGTTGCGTCCCTTGGGCACGCCAGAAACCTATGATTGTGGGTTCGAATCCCGGTTCGCCCCGATTATGTTTCTAGGTTTGTCAGCACCATACCCGTGCTCGTTGGTTTCACCGAAGTGGTAAACGTCTCAGACCTGCATCACTTCAGGCTTTCCTCCCACATTAAGCTGACACGCCGTGATATATAACTGGAATACTGTTAAAAGCGGCGTTAAACCCAACTCACTCACTCACCAATGATTTTCAGTGACCCATACATATAATTTTCACTGCTATTTTGCCCAATGGAATCTGTTTCAGCAGATAATCTTGACTGGTTATTTTCTGGCATTGGTGTTTTAAATTTACTTAAATGTATCCTTAACTTTTATGTCAAAAAATTGTTTCTAATTAGCCAGTTTCTCAAAGTTTATTTTACTTTCAAGACCCTGAAGACAATCTAAGCAATAAAAAATTAATTATTTCACGCACAGAGAGACTATATCCAATCAAAATGACTCATTACTGTTGATTTCTAAGCCAGAAGAAAAATTGATCACATTTTGTTGAACTTATCAGCTGACACAGATTGTTAAGCCTAAAGTACAAACCATCATGTTTTCAAACTTGAAATATGAATAACTTTACAATATTTAAAAACACCCTTTTTTTTCAGTTTTCAAAAATGATGTTGCTACACACACAGTAACCAAAAAAATTAAGAGTTAACAATCTGCCGACACAGGAGGAACAATGTCTGAGGAAGCAGTCTCATTAATAATATTTAAAAACACAAACATTTTTTCAATTTTCCAAAACAGGATCCTGCTACACAAACAATTATAATGATTTTCAGAGTTCTGCGGACACAGGAGAAAAGGATGTCAAAGGAAGCAGTCTCATTACCCTAGAATTGCTGATATCAAGGTTTATTTTGGATGCATAATTAATGCCTAAACTCACCAAGGCTCAGCTAGTTACTGGATTTCACCTATACAAGACTGCAGTTGCTGCAGTTGCTGATTACTGAAAACAAAATCAATTAATACAATATTGACAATTGATCACAAGCAATTAGGAATCGCCTTTATAATTGGTGCTGTTGTTAGCTGTATGTTTTACGATCATTCACATTGATCAAATAGATGTTGAAGATTTGTGAATTACAGTGAAAATATGTTTCATGATTGATTTATCGTTTACCATGTTTATCCAACTGTGAATGTATTTTGTATTCACGTGATAGATTGATTGATATGAGAGTTAATTGAGGCATAGATATCATTACATGAAAAATATTTGTGATTGTTTAGGATATGTTAGAAATGAAGTGTTAAAAGTTTAAATCTCCTATACTAAAAGCAGGGAAAGGCAAAGGAATGTCACAGAATAGGTAAAGAATGAAGGGCCCACACACAGTCAGAGCTATCAGGATTAACATCACACACAGACAGGATTATCACCACATGCACACAGGATTATAATCACCCACAGACATGATTATTATCAGGCACATTCAGGATCATCACACACAGACAGGATTATAATCACATGGACAGGATTATCACCACATATACAGGATTATAACCACTTGCACACAGGATTATCACCACACACAGGCACAATTATCATCACACACAGACAGGATTATCATCACACAGGATTATGATCACACAGTCAGGATTATCATCAAACAGACACAATTATCATCACACACAGATAGGATTATCACCAAACAGAATTATGATCACACAAACAGGATTATCACCACACACAGACAGGATTACCACCACTCACAGACAGGATTATCACCACACAGACAGGATTATCACCACACACAGATAGGATTATCACCACACACAGACAGGATTATTACCACACACAGACAGGATTATCACCACACACAGTCAGGATTATCAACACACACAGACAGGATTATCACCACTCACAGACAGGATTATCACCACACACAGACAGGAGTATCACCACACACAGACAGGATTATCACCACATACAGACAGGATTATCACCACACACAGACAGGATTATCACCACTCACAGACAGGATTATCACCACACACAGACAGGATTATCACCACACACAGACAGGATTATCACCACACACAGACAGGATTATCACCACTCACAGACAGGATTATCACCACACACAGACAGCATTATCACCACTCACAGACAGGATTATCACCACACACAGACAGGATTATCACCACACACAGACAGCATTATCGCCACATGCAGTCATGATCATCCCCACACACAGACAGGATTATCACCACACACAGACAGGATTATCACCACACACAGACAGGAGTATCACCACACACAGACAGGATTATCACCACACACAGACAGGATTATCACCACACACAGACAGGAGTATCACCACACACAGACAGGATTATCACCACACACAGACAGGATTATCACCACATGCAGTCATGATCATCCCCCCCCCCCGCCCCCCCCCCCCCCCCACAGTCGGTTTTTCCATCACACAGTCACAATCTGAACAATGGCCATGACATTGGAAGTCGTTGTTAGTCAGTTAGGAGATGGCGTGTGAGGAAGACATGAGACCGTATTGATGACAACCTATCTCTCCTTCCTCCCAAACTTCCAGGGACGTCTCTCACTCCAGCGAACAGTGAAGGAGCATGTGAAAGCCCTGGCAGCAGGAGAATCATAAACAAGTTGAAATCTTTACGTTTTGTCATGAATAAAGTTAGTTTCTAATATATGTTAGAACGAAGAACAGGTTGGTTAGGTGCATTTTAGAAAACAAAGAGTGCATGTATATATTAAAATAAGTAACATAATTTTAATGACATGAAATGCATATTTCAACTTCATGGTTGAGTATGCTTTTGTGTTACTCTAGACTAGAATGAATGAATGGCTATACAAAGATTAGCTTGTATGTGCCCCAGCGCTCTGTCTAAAATGAAATGCATTCAACTATCCCTTGCTATGATTATCAAAGTAACTTCACTCATCAAATGTAAAACTTGATAGTTTCTAAGATTTATCAAAATTACAAATATAATAAAATATTGAATATTGCACTATATCCTCATGAAATAAACACGCAATATTTGTATAAGCAATTTCCCGAGGAACTATTTTATATCTCGAGGTTTATTACTCCTTGTGAAAGTTGTGAGATCATAAAGGAATATATGGCCAGACAACAGTAAAAGCAAGTACTGGGGTTGAAAGGAAACTATCAGTCTAGTTGGAGGTTCCAGGGTCTTACTGAACAACAAATATTTCTACTACTTTAATGTGTAATGAATCAAACTGGTGTGAGGTATTCTATTGATGTCCAGTCATTCCTGATAATAACTGATAATAAAAGCCTCAATATCCAACATGCTCATTTTGTATTCATTGTGAAGCTGGAAAAATTTCTTGTTACTACAAGCCTGCTATACTTGCTCTAAAAGTAACAAATATTTTAATTTAGTTTTAATATTTAATTAGAAAACATCAATGCTAGAGAACAACCCATGACAAGGGTGACAAATATATGAATGGATCACTAAAAATCAGTGATGATGTCAAACAGTATCTGTTGCTGTTGTGAAAATTACAGAGATTGGGTGCATGATCTGGATGGTCGCCATGGTGATGCAAGGGGTGTTTGGGCAAATGAAGCTTAGAAGATGGAAACTTTGGTTTGGGACGTTTCCAAACCAGGATCAGAAGAAGGATGAGATGCATGTCCTGCCCTTTAATATCCTTGTTCATGACAACAAACTAGAGCAGTCTCTATCCTAATTAGTTTAGTGAATAGGCACAAAGATATAAGCCAATCAGATGAAGTCTTGCAGTAATCTTAAAAGAAGTTTATCGAAACTACTAAAGTGGTTTTGTTTGACATTTTGAATCAAAGGTCACAATCGGAGAATTTGATTCATTCATCAATCTTAGGTCAGTCTTCAAAGGAACATAGTAACACTATGAGACAAATACCAATCTCCTAGTGATTATGATTTCTTTTAAAGATAATCCATGTCTGGTTTTTAAAAGGAAGATTCTGAAATGGGGACAGATTCAGTAGCAGGTTTAAATGAAATGAATAAGTCGTCTGAAATCAAAGTCGGTTGTCTAGTTCTTTGGTTTTGCCATGTTCAGTAAAACATAAGCTTTACTAACAGAATAAAGGATGAGAGATCATCTCTGTCCATCTCACTATAGTAAGGCTGGGACGGGTAACTCGGGTACTCGAGTACCCACAGGACTGCGCGGACCAGTGGTTAGTCACGTGATATATTGTTTAATGACAAAAATTATCTAAAACTCTATGGTTACGCTATAAATCACTAATGTTCCCATTTCTCTCTGACAATGCACACATTCCTTCTGACTTTTATATGTTTGAATAAAGATAAACCCTCCATGCAGCAAACTTAGTGTATGCATGACCAGATCGTTTTACACGTGTATCTAAATACATTTTGCTAGGGCTACGGTCAAACTTTTCCAAATCGGACAGTTTGTACCTATCTCTTAATATCTACAGCGGGTACCCGGGTAGGGTCGGGTAATAGGGTGGTGGGTACCAGGGTAGTAAATTGGGACTCTTCCCAGTCCTACACTAAAGTGCCTCACATTATTTTACTGTCCCCAGGCACCTACAGGCGAAGAAAATCACTTTGTGTTTTTTCCATTCTTTCTTTGCTTGATGAAATATAGATTCTTATAAATAGTGATACCAAACACCATGCCTCACATCATTTCATTGTACCTAAGCACCTTCAGGCCTAGACTAACACTTAATCTATGAAAACATTTCTTTAAACTAATTGTTTTATTTTTTCCAAAAAGAACCTTTCCTCTTGTGCTGTTTGGGAACATGACTTGGTTTAGTTTGATCTAGACTTGCCTAAGCTTTTATTTAAAAAAATGGGAAATAATGTGGTGAGATTCACTTGTGTACAGTAGCACATATGTAAAGAAATTCACAAAATAATCGGGGCGGTCGGGTAGCCTAGTGGTTAAAGCGTTCACTCGTCACGCCGAAGACCTGGGTTCGATTCCCGACATGGGTACAATGTGTGAAGCCCATTTCTGGTGTCCCCGCCGTGATATTGCTGGAATATTGCTAAAAGCGGCGTAAAACCATACTCACTCACTCACAAAATAATCACCCGACATGGATTGTTCTCCTATACATGCTTCACCTTTATCTTCTTCTTCTCCAGTATATATATATATATATTCCACAGCCATAGCACAGGACTATTGGGGGCACAGGTGGCCCAGTTGGCTAAGGCGTCGCGATTCGCTGTGAAGAGTTGCGTCCCTTGGGCACGCCAGAAACCTATGATTGTGGGTTCGAATCCCGGTTCACCCCAATTATATTTCTAGATTTGTCAACTACATACCCGTGCTCGTGGGTTTCACCGAAGTGGTAAACGTCTGAGACCTGCATCACTTTGGGCTTTCCTCCCACATTAAGCTGACACGGTGTGATATAACTGGAATACTGTTGAAAGTGGCGTTAAACCGAACTCACTTACTCACAGGACTACTACATGCCAGGAAACGCCTATCTGTGTTCCCCTCTACCCGTACTTAATGACATTCATCACATACTTTGCAAAACCTGCAATCGACTAAACTCTGCATGACAGTTTACGAACCGAATTTCGATTTCAGTGCGCAATTTTGATTGGACTATGCATAGACTCGTTAGTCCAGCCAAAATGTAACTCCATAATCCCAGCATAGTTCGGCAAGGGTGGAAACTGGACTTTTATAGTGAGTTAACTCTCTTGCCTAGGGAAGATGGATTTCACAAGGAATAAGTAACCTTCTAACAAGGACACTCCGTCCTTACACATCCATCATTTAAATTTTATCTTTGTAAACATATCTAATTTCAAATGTCACATTGACAATTTAAACATATTATTTAAACATTTAGATTTTGCACATTATACATTATCGAGTTGCTCCCCTTAATAATGCCCTCCTCTGACACCCAATACAAAACAGACCAGGTGACAATTTATGTAAAATCCTATACTAACACAATTGAACGGCCCCAGTTTTGAATAACCCAAGAATATTGAACTTGGCCGCTGATAGGTGGTCCTAAGTAGATGGTACACATTTTGTGGGTCGTATTGATTTTTTCGTAAATGTATCTATCTGTGTTGATGTGCAGTTGCCTGATTAGCTGAAAGATACATATGGGAAAAGAACTATATCGTATTTATGCAAGTTGAAATAAAACTGCATATCAAGATACTACTGGGAGATACTGTTTCACTTTGTGGAGAGATACTGTTTCACTTTGTGGAGTGAAACTGCATGTATTAATTCACATTTTTTCCCAAGGCGCTTTTTGTGGTAATTGGATATTTCCCATTATAACACATGAGATCTAAATGAGTCACGTTTGATGGAACGCCTGGTTTGAAGGATACAACAAATACATGCCATCCCTAAAAAGAGCATCCGATTGTCCTTATAATAAAGAAGCTGACCCCAAATACATGATCCCATTGTCGCCATCAGGAAGTGATAGTATTAAATAGATATTATTATACGAGCATGTGCATCATACTGATTTTATGAAATGTGTGTCAGAATTCTTGTATTTCCTGACCAAGACCGAAGGTAATATATTAATTCTTACATGAGTTTCGCAAGATCAGTTTGACACACATGTATGCGAATGTAATTATTTCTTTATTACCCATTATTTCTTCATTCTTTTGAGCTCCCCTTTAGAAAAATGCACAGATCACGACCACCGTCTTAGAAAAAACAAACTTGTCAACAATCTTCAGCTATGACATCATTTCTAGTGTGACTTTTCGTCATAATCAGTCAACCTTGTCAATTACCGTTATAACCTTGTCAATTACCGTTATGAGACCTGTGAAGATCCGGGGTAGAATAGGTCTTCAGCAACCCATGCTTGCCATAAAAGGCGACTATGCTTGTCGTAAGAGACGACTAACGGGATCAGGTGGTCAGGCTCGCTGACTTGGTTGATGCATGTCATCGGTCCCAATTGTGTGGATCGATGCTCATGATATTAATCACTGGATTGTCTGGTCCAGACTCGATTATTTACAGACCGCCGTCATATAGCTGGAATATTGCTGAGTGCGGCGTAAAACAACAAACCAACCAACCAATTACCGTTATGTACCAGGCCGAGCTGCTCAATACTATCTTAGCACAAAGGTGATCATAACTCCATACTTAAACATAGACTTATGATAGTTGTAGCGCTAAGATCGTTTTTTGCAACGGGGCTGTATGTAAACTTCAAAGCAATTCTAGGAATAGAACTGAATGAGATCTTAACATGAAAGGTCTCTGTCAAACTAATACAAAGATTTATGTCTGTATGTTATTAGATTTATGTCCTCCAGCTTCATAAAAAAAGAGGCCAGTCTTGGATCACAGGTATGCTGCTAATGAAGCAGGTTAATCTTATAACACAAGAATGGCAGCCTGCGCCATTCATCAATTTTCGAGTATCTGCTTCTAGATTGCCTCTATCCAATTAGTGCTGGAGTATTTCTAACCTCCGTTACCTTATCTCTTCCAATAGATTTTATTTCTCCAACCTGGCCCCAGTTTTAATTAAATCAGCCACATGTTTTAAAGAAACATGCAAACAGGTGAAAATAAAAAAATTAAAATTATTTTAAGCTTGTCGACAGTGAAATCGTGGTCGACAGTGAAATCGTGGTCTTCGGTTGGCTTATTTCCTCAAGAGGCAATGGATATAGTGGTTGTCAAATCATTAACTGATACATACATCATAACGAATGAAGCATGCATTAAATGTTCAGCTGCATAGTTTCAGTTAACTTCAAAAGGAATTCAGTTATCTGTGATCTGAATGTTTAAAAATAATAGGGGTTAAATAACTTCAAAACAATTTTTCAGGCTTATACTATGTATTTCTAAAAATATAATGTTAGAAACTTTGGGTTGATAACATTCTTGGGCCATGAGGGAGTATGGTTTAACGCAGCTAATTAGCATATTCCATGCTGCTACATCAATTAGGGACAGAAATAAGCTTCTCACATCCATGTGGGAATCAAACCTTGATATATGGCATCACTAGCCAACACCTTAACCACTGGGCTACCCAACTCCCTTAAGAGCATGAATAAGTAGTTACTTTGTGGTTTATAAAGGAAGTGATTACGTTAAACTTTGGGTTTGCTATAAAGCTGTTCATAGTACTGTAGTGGTCGGGTTTAATGTCGACATTTCAGTTATATCTTGGTATGTAAGCTTAATGTAGGTGGAAGCCCAACGTGATGCAGGTTTTCACCGCTTTGGTTAGATTCACTATCATGGGATGGGTGCTTACAAAACTAGGATCAAAATCGGGGCAAATCGGGGTAGACTCTATGCTATACCAATCTTACCATTGGTGACCCATATTACACATGTCGCAGTTTAACACAGACACTAATTACAACATCTAGATCTAGACTGGGAATGCGTAGTCCCCATTGATCCAAACATTGCCCTTTTCCCCACAAATTTAAAGCTCGTGAAATTATCTTGCAGCAAGTATACAGGGTTGTTAAGAAGGATGAATGGCTAGAGTTTAGCATTTCAGATTTGTGTGTAGCTATACGATCTACATTATAGAAACAAAAGGTTGCCAAGCAACATGCAAATAGAAGAGGTCACTACGTGAAAAGAAAAGGTTAGTGAGTGAGAGCAAATAAAACCAGACTGAAACTATTTGAAAGAAGGACTGTATTCAGCATAGGCTAATGGTAGGCAATAATTCTGACTTTAAGAGCAATCAGTACCTGAATCAGTATGCATCAGCATTAGGGCACGGTTGCTGTTGATGTCTTCATCACTAGTGCCACGCCCACTGTCTGTTGCCATGGAGACATCGCTGGCACCATCGTCTACTCTGCCCAAGAAGGAGTTTTGCCTATACTTCATATACTTCCGACCTGGGTCAAATGTACTTCCGTGTGAGCTGTAGTCTTTTATGTGGGATAACTGCAAAACAAACTTCAATATTATCAATTGGAAAATTAAACTGCACAAAATTGCTACATTGCATTAGGAAATGAAAGACTTGTAGCAGAGACATAGCTGTATAAATACATATCTCTAAGCACTGGTATTTAAATATAAAGTAGGTATTTATAGCCTGCATGCACAAATTGCTTCAATTTTGGAATATTGTTCATTTTGCATAATGTCAAATCAAAATATTGCCATCAGGAAATAAAATCCTTACATCATGTGTATTATATCCAAATATGACAATCACACTTATGTCTAACATCTAAAACTTTACCCAGTACTTGGTCATATTGAAAGTGCTTGAGTGAAATTTGTTTTATGTCACAGACAGCCCTATTCCAGCTAAAGCACAATGATGTCATTAATGATTTTCAGTGATCCATTCATATAATTTTAACCTCTATTTTGCCTTGTGTACCCATTGGAGTTTTGTAGGGTAATGAAGACTGGTTATTCTCTGGCATAATTCTCTGGCACATCAAATACCCATGACAAAGGGGTAATAGGATGTAAGTGACTTAAATGCATTGTCACACATTATAACCAACCAATTCCCTTTTCGGTCGTCTGACAACAAGAAGCATGGAGTATTGGGGAGCTATTCAGCCATGTCAGTTTAGAATTGGTTCTCAGTAACCTATGCCTGTCATAAGGGGTAACTTAATAGATTGAAGGATCAGGTTCTGTGACATGGTTGTTTAGGTGACATAATACCCCCAAATGAGTGGATTGTTCCTCATATTATCAATCACTAGACCGAGTGATCCAGACTTGATTAGAATTCCACTGTGGTCTTGTAGCTTTTAGCATCTAGCCAGAGAATGGATGGTCAGTGGTTTGATCCATTGGCCATGTCATACAGAAAGACGTTTAAATATGGTACTTGTTGTTACCCTGCCTGGCGCTATGTAGTATACTGTATACAGTATACTGTGTCTGAGTGGGGTATTTACGTTACACTGTGGCATGGTAACTCAGTGGGCTAGCACTATAAAACGGTCATTAGTCCAGACTAACACAAACAGCCATACATACATGTGCATGTACATTGCTCTATAAGTACAATAATCTTGAACATGATATTAAACCATATCACATAACCAGTTATTTACAGGATGCCATCATATAGCTTAAATAGTGCTGAGTGTGACATTAACCAACCAACCAACCAACCAACCAACCAACCAACCAGCCACCAAACCCAATCCAACCCGGCCGTGGCATTCCCATCTGGCACCTATAAACTACAAAAGAAGTCACTCTGAGAAACTCACATCTGAAATTTTGTCATCTTCTTCCTCCTGGAATGAGGACTCCATCACATCATCTCTGAACTTATAGCTGTTCCTCTCAATCTCGTCAAACACCTTCTTCCGGGACAGACTGCTGTGGGAGGTGTACCTGGGGGTGTCTGGGTCATTCCCGGGGGGTAGGGTATAGATATTCACCCCCTGCTCCTGTTTCTTCAACTCCTCTCTCCTCTTCTTGTCTCGTTTCTTCATACACAGGATCCCCAGCAAAATTGTGAGTGCAATTATCACTGTCAGACAGGAAAGAGAAATCACAATGGGCAGGTAATCGAAGGATGCATTTGCTGTGTCATGTTCAATTGTGACTGTGAAATATGAATAAGTAGTATGTCTCGGAATGCCATTATCGTGAACAGCTACGAGCATTTCATGGTCACCTTCATCTTCAGAAGTAATGGCTCGGGCCACAGTTAACTTTCCTGTCAGAGGATTTAACCGAAATAACGTCTTCTCGTTACCCTGTTCGATTGTAAAAGTGAGAATGATTTGACCATCACGTCCATCATCAATGGCCTGAATTGTCCCAATCAGAGTGCCAGTTTTACTGTTGAATGGGACACTAACAGAATTATTAAATCGGTTTGGGAATGTGATGACTGGCGGTTTATCCAAATCCTCCATTACATACACGGTGACGTCTGCTGTGTTTCGGAAAGATGCCTTATCAGGATCCATGACTATCACACCGAAATTGTACTGAATGTTGTCTTCCCTTGTAAGTTTCACTGCTGAACGAATATCTCCGGTTCTGGAATCCAACTTAAACAAATTCCTCACTGCTTCTGTGTCCCTGAATGAAAACACAAAATTATTACTTGCATCTGGATCCACTGCTGTTAGTGTACCACAAACTGAATAGGCAGGGAGATTCTCAGTGATATTGAACTTGAAAAGGGGTTTCGTGAATCGGGGCGGCATGTCATTCTCATCCTGGACCGTAACCACAACTGATGCTGTAGAATTCATAGATGGGAATTTGGCATCCATAACTATAACAGGAACTTCAAACGATGACTGGATCTCACAATCAAAAACTTTCTTGGCTTTCATTTCTCCTGTAACACTGTCTAAAGTTACAAACCGTGAGGATCCCACGATGTGGTAACGCATGTCGTTATTGCCTGGGCCATCTATATCAATAGCCTTGAGTGTTGTTATATGATCCCCAACATTGTTGTTCTCAGATATATGTGCAAACATTGTAGAATTTGGGAAGACTGGAATGTTGTCATTGACATCTTGAACCTGTACAACAATTGAGGTTATATTTTTCTTAGGAGGTGTGCCCGAATCCTTGCATGTGATATTCACCTCAATCACCTTTGTCTGTTCGTAATCCAACTGCTTGTCAAGGTAAATACGCCAATAACTGTACTGGAAATATTCTGATCGGAAACGTGGATCTGTGATGGAACAATTCACCTGTCCATAGTCACCTCGGTCAGAATCAACAACAGAGAACACAGTAAAGAAGGATCCGGGTTTGGCAGACTCAGACAGATTAAACAGGTACTGTTTGGGGTTGATCTGGGGAGCATTATCATTGACATCGGTCACATTCACAATCACAGATGCTTCAGTGGAACGGACAGGGTTCCCCTGGTCTTGAACAACAACAGGGAAATGGTATTGCTTCTCCTGTTCATAATCCAGTTGTTTGATAGGGTAAAGTTCCCCACTTACACTATCGATCATGAACGTTTCTGTGACCTTGCTTGTAGCTCTTGGACTGATGCTGTACGACAGTTCACTATTCTTCCCGATGTCTTCGTCCATGGCTGTCAGTGTCAAGATGGTGGAACCAACAGGATGATCTTCCTTCACCAATACTGTGAAGGTTCTGATGTCAAAGTGGGGAGTGTTGTCATTGACGTCAGTCACCACAATGTTGATGTCAACAGATCCGGATCTTCGGGGGCTTCCTCCGTCTTTAGCAAAGATGGTTAGTCGGTAGGAAGATTCGGTTTCTCTATCCAAGACCTGCTTTACTATAATTCCAATCTCCTGATTACCTGATAGATCTTCTTCGATGTTCAACCCAAATGCTCCATCACTAGGAAACAGTTTGTATGTCTTCACAGAATTATTGCCTGTCATATCTTTATCTATTGCTGGGGAAATTGCAATGATATGTCCAACAGAGACAGATTCAGATATGTTCCGTGTGATGGCTCGTTCTGGGAATGTGGGAGAATTGTCATTGATGTCTTCCAGTTTGACAGCAATCCGAACAATTCTTTCTCCCACTGCAAGAGTATCTTTATTGGGCTGCCTATAGTAGAAGCCTACATCAAAACTCAATTCACAATCCTTCTTCATCTCACATTCAGTTTCTCGATCCAGCCTCATCCCAGTTGTAATAATTCCTGTTGTTTCATCAATAGAAAATTTGTTTGTAATCAAAACATCCTTTGTAAACATGGAATACTTGTGGTTGTTAAGCTCTTCAGCAGTGAACGATAAGTTACGAATCAAATCATTGGCAATATTTGCAACAAACGTTCCTTCTGGTTGTTCCTCAAGAACTTGATACATCAGATTAAACTCCTGACCCTGTATCATCACCAAAGACGACACCACCACCATCACCACCAACATCCTCCTCACAATGCTTAGCAGGCACATTTTTACCAATATTCACCGCAAGGCAAACACAGTCTCTAGAAACTCAAACAAGGATTATCCCCGATTTCTGCTCAATTATTCCATCTATCGATGACAAACATTTTGGGTGCGTAGTCTCTCTCTCCTCAGAGTCCTCTTATCCAAACAAGGTTTTTGCGATATACATGTCCTCTCTACAAGCATCAATACTTGCACATTGAAATTGCCTGCTTCAATCCATGTGCTTAGCTGCAAACCAATATTTTTATCCAGCGAACAAACACAGTTCCATTTAGTGTGGTTCTAGGCTGCGACCATTATCACTCCACAGGTTTGGCTATCTGAAATGAAAAAGACAAATGTAAATAACAAATTGCACAAATTAAAGTCAAAGGTTGTTATCATGTAGACAGACATTGGTAGCTTTGACTTAACAAATATGCCTCTGTCACAACTTGAATATTCACAACTGGTTAAATGGACACCACACTTCACCCTACACTCCAGGTTACACGACAAAGTAACGTCTTACTGACAGTTTCAGCTCAGGCTTGAATAGATCGCATACAATTGGGCTTGACGTAAGTATTTGCTTGTTCAATATGCTTGTGTATACTTGACAAGTGATTCAGTTCTCATTTCAAGAAAGCTTTAGATCGACATGGAAATATCACATTCACCCTGCACAGATAAATGTGAATTAAAATGTCCACCTCCACTCCAACCATGCATGAATTATTCCTATAAATGTACAGTAAAAATGTCCACCTATCCCCCAGCTGTGCTTGAAGTGCCCATAAACCCTCCATACACACGTTTATATTGTATTTGCTAAACTTACTTGCATTTGATTGGGAAATAACACAAAGTAAACATTTCAATAACCGTGATCCCTAGGGGAAGGCTTATTATCATCATAAAGGATTTGTTCATAATCGGAATTACGTGAGTCATCGTACTCTGCTACATTTGCAGCTGTTGGGGTGAGAGACAACCAATACAGATATTCATACAAGCTGTAGCAATGCATGTAGCAGCCCTTTTCAGCTGGACAGAAGGTGGCTAGAGACAATGTCTGATATGGGACTGACAGTATACAGCGAGTGAGTGAGCTGGGCTTTATGCCGCTTTGAATATCATTTCAGTTATATCACTCCATTTCAGCTTAACGTGGGAGAAAACTTAAAGGACACAGGTCTTGATATGTTAAGACTTTGGTAATAACCATAAGCATGGGTATGGTGGTGATAAACTAATTATCATGATCAGGACAAATGTGGGACTCAAACTCGTAATCATAGGATCGTGACATGCCAAGGGAGGCAACTCTGCACAGCAAATTGCGCACCTCAGACGATAGTGCAAACCATGAGATATGTTAGACACAAGGAATAAATGAACAAAAACCAAACAGAGTGACTATTTATTTTTTAAATGATAAGGTGTAATAAGGATATGAGTTTAAAAAACTTTTGGTTTCTAAAATGTTGTGTAAATAAATGAGATTAGTTTCTTTATTATGATTCTTGTAAGATGCTGTCGTCATTGAATCCTCCCCATGATCAGTGAGTTAGTGAGTGAAAATTTATATTCACATCGGCAGTATGTCAGCCATATTGTGACTTGAAAATGATGACATCAATTATGACTGAGCAATTGAATGAAAGAGTGAGTGAGTGTGTTTGAGTGAAGTGTGCATATGTAAGTGAAGTAGCGAGTGAAAGAATGTGGTATCAATATGTCAAAGTATTTATCATCATCAAAATTATGATCAACAGTTTTATAGTCAAATAACGATTCATCACAGTATGACAGTCATTATTTGATGATTTTCTCCTGACAAGCACCCTTACGGGGATTCTAGGCACAATATAATTCTGAAGTATCGCATGATTATCATGAAAGGGGTGATCTGACTGATTGTGTGTCAGTGTGTGGCAAGGGGAGGAGGGGGGCGGGGAGGTAGGTAGCCTAGCAGTTAAAGTGTTCACTCATCACATCATGCAAAGACCCCGAGTAGATACAATGTGTCAAGTCCATTTCTGGTATCCAACGCCATGCTCAAAGCGGCCTCAAACCATAAAACTCATTCACTTACTCATGGCATGTTGCTCATGCTATCAACCACTCACTCATGACAAGCAATATCTTATTTCACTGAAACATTTGTCGAAAGGCTGATAGACAGGTCACTACTAAACTCGAGAGTTTTCACCTGAGAATTGGATTTGAACAAAGACATTCAAAACGTTATCAAAACATTACGAGGCTAAAAACAGTCGCCAAAACACTGCACACACAAGGTCCAAAACACAACTATGATATACCTTTATCAAATACATCACCATCAAAATACCATTTCTTGTCTGTTACATTTTTAGCCACAATGGAACATGGGTGTATACTTTCTTTTGCCTGGCTGTATATATCTGGTTCGCCTGGCCCAGACTTGATTATTTGCAAGCCGCCATCTCATAACTGGAATATTACCGACTCTAACAATATTCACACGCGCCATGAACAAAGAGTCACTGACATGTACAAATTCAGCTTATTAATTTGGACAGATTGACAGACAGACATAGATATGTTCCCACAGAGCCAGTGAGACATACAAAACACTTATTAGAACCAGGAACTTTAGCATCATGGAGACTCTTTATGTGAGGCAGCCAGCCATCAGGAACAAGAGTATGCACCATCGTCCCTGGACTAAACACCCGATATGCATAAGAGGAAGGAAACAGGGAACAATGATATGTACTTTCATATACAACAGAAAAACAGCAATTTGATCGAAAGCCTGTCAAATAATTCTCACAAAGGTAGTTCATGTTCTTTCAGCGATTCAACACCAGATCCCTGCTATATTTATTCACAGGCTCCTTCGGGAAATGATGGCAGCTTAAGATTCAAGAGTTGAATAAATCCTTCCTCTGTTCAAAAGAATTCGATGACATGCATGTGCTAACAAGCGATGATGGATGATAAATCGTGATATGATTTTAGAAATTATGAAAAACGCAAAACCTCTTTCATGTTTCTGGTTTTCATTACGTTACTTGAGTTGATTGGATAGTGAATTTTGATAGCTTTTCAAGCTTTATACATGTTTTTTTAAGTATTATTTTCAAACATCCTCTAAAATCATCTCATTTTTGCAGCATGGGATCTTTTCCAGTTTAAATACCAAGAAATGTCATTGCAAGTTTTCAAAGAAAACGGCAAGATATTTTTAGATCTTTTTTGTTTTGGAATGACCCCTCTATAGTGTACATATTCCCTAACAAGAAAGTTTCCAAGAAAGTCTAGTGGTACTAATTGTTTCTTTTTTATTTCTATATTTCCTTCTACTAGGAGGGTGGTGGTGTAGTCTAGTGGTTAACAATTCAAAAGTGTTGAATATTGCTAAAAGCATTTCCCTACAAACATACTCATTTACTCCTTCTTTTATGAAAACTGGTTGACTTGAAAGATCAATTTAATATTGAGACAAATTATGACTACCGTATTCGACGTAATAAGCACCCCGCTCTAATAAGCGCCCGCGGGAACATTTGCTAATATTTTGGCGAGTGAACAATCCCAATTAGCACCCTTCCGATTGATCAATGTACACAAGACTCGTGTGTTATATGCACCCTTAATTATGGGCAATTAAATTCTGGAAAAATATATCTGTCGTACATAAACACTTCAGGCTGTCAGCATAAACCATGAAATTTATCTTGCAACTCTGGTTTTTTCCCCAAAATAATATTCTAAAAATAGCCCCCTATTTCTAATTTTGAGAGCCCCCTGGGCGCTTATTACGTCGAATACGGTATATTGATTCAGTAATAAAACTAAATAAAACAACTCTGAGTACATCAGTTGCAAAATGTGTCCCATTTAAAATATATATATATCCGCATGTCTTGATCGACTGAATGTAGACTCGAATACCAGACTGACCCATGAAGATCCGGGTAGAATAGGTCTTCAGCAACCCATGCTTGCCGTCACAGAGCACTATGCTTGTCATAAGAGGCGACTAACTGGATCGGGTGGTCAGGCTCTCTGACTCGGTTGATGCATGTCATCGTATCCCAATTGCTTGGATCGATGTTCATGATGTCAATCACTGGATTGTCTGGTCTAGAATCGATTATTTACAGACCGCAGTCATATAGCTGGAATATTGCTGAGTGCGGTGTTAAACAATAAACAAACAAACAAAATCAAATACCAGATTGGAGCAAAGATCAAAATTAATGAATAAAATGACACGCCATCCTATTCCTATCGTTCTACAGTTAGAAGTGTGGGAGGTGGGAGGATTGAATAACCCAGCCATCTTAGCCATCACACTCTTCACATTTAACATGAGCACACCCACGGTCTCCATGTTTCTATCCTTCTTCAGTGAGTGGCCCAGCCATCGAAGGCACTACAATTCACTCTGCAGAATTGCATCCCTTAGACATGCCAGGATCTAATGTTTGATTCCCAAATCTAGCCTGAAATACCCATGCTGGTTTTAACAAAAGTGCATGGCAAGCATCCTGCTAGTCCTGCACCATGACTGTGGGATATATTTATTTGATGAAAATAAATAAATCTAGAAATGCATACAAAAGCAAGTTTAGCCAGCTCAAGCTAGCTCTATTCCACAAATCAGCATGGGGAATTTTTTTTATATTTTTAGAGTCAAGAAGGATATTGTGTAATATAAGATTTCAGAGACTAAATGTTAGTCTAGCATCCTGCATCAACCACTTTCACCCAACACCATGATATATAAATACTGTTAAAAGTTGTATTAAACCCAACTCACTCACTCACTTAATATTCATACTCAAAGAAATCAAAAATCAATACCTGAAACTTCCCAAGACGATTTTCACAATCATAACTGTATCCATCCTGACTAGTCTGGACAGTGGTCATCATTTGAACTATACACACCCAGACTGGTCAGTCACAGAAACAATAAAATCAAGCTTAAATCAGAGTTTAATATATTTGCTTTAACAGAGCGCTTCCTTAATCGCCTTGACCCCCCCTTTAGGAGGTCTGACCATATTTGTTTATTCAACCAGACCTAAGTAAGTAATTACAAGTACCAGCATTCACAAAGATATCATAAATTAAATTTGCACAACATGACTGAGGACTAGGTACATGCCTCAGGGTCGTGTTATTGTTGACAGAGTTTGGAAGGGGAAGAGCACATTGACCATTGCTCTAAATACCTACTTTCAAAACTCCTCCCCATCGCCTATTATTTATTCAGGTGTCTCTACCAAGGTGAAAAAGCGTCATGAAAAACAAGCCAAAGAAACCGTATGCGTAGCATACT